ACAACAACAACAACAATAATAATAATAATAATAATAATAATAATAATAATAACAATAATAATGAAAATTATAATAATAATGCTATTAATTCTAATGTTGATAATACCAATACTATCCCTAATAATGATATTGATCATAATTTTGATAAGAATGATGATAGTAATGATCATAATATTTTAATATTGATAATGATAATCATGATGATATTGATAATAATAATGACATTACAATAATAATAATAATAATAATAATAATAATAATAATAATAATAATAATAATAATAACAATAATAATAATAACAATAATAATGATAATAATAACAAGAACAATAATAATGATAATAATAATAATAATAATAAAAATAAAAATAATAATAATAATAATAATGATAATAATGATAATAATAATAATAATAATAATAATAATAATAATAATAATAATAATAATAGTAATAATAATAATAATAATAATAATAATAATAATAATAATAATAATAGTAATAATAATGATAATAATAATAATGATAATAATGATAATAATGATAATAATAATAATCATAATAATAATAATAATAATAATAATAATAATAATAATAATAATAATAGAACTAATAGTAATGATAATGATAATACAATAAATAGTACAAAGTAAAGTACAATAATTATACCATTGATAATGATAATTCTAATACAGTAATGATGATGGTAATAATCATAATAATAATGATGATATTACTACTACTACTAATGAATACAAAAATATTGATAATATTAATCATAATAATAATGCTAATAATGATGGTGATAGAAATAATCGTATAACACTACTCCCTTAAAATCCATCAGGTACTCGGCTTAGCAACTAGATATCTCTGAAGGTATGTTTATCCACAGAAGGAGATTATGTGTTATATGTACCCTCGTGAAGATGTCTTCCACGGGAGCTCTGGGTACGGCGTGAACTCTCTGTGACCTTGACCTCACGTGACCTCTCCGCTGTGGTACTCTTTTGAGACAACGCAGATGAAGCTTTTTTTTTTTTATTTTTTTTTTTATTAGATTTAGTAAGATCGATATGTCACGTGCTGATCTTGTGGGAAGATTAGTTAAGCCTTTCTTGTGCTACTCAGGGTAAGATACAGTAAGCCAAGTTCGCTGTAGTGATATTGAGTGCGTATGAATTAATAGCATTGGGCGTTTGTGAATGGTAGGGGGAAATCTGGTACAATTGAAAATGGTGTCTTAGGTGCACACTTTTTATGCTCTGTTTAACTGCGTAATGATAACATGAGTAGATATGATGCTTGAAGGTTTTGATACTTAAGTGTATCTCACTTTTCGGGCGAAGGATATTTACGATAAACGTATCGATAGCAACAAGGCCATAAAACGGAACTCCTGCAACTGTACGGCATAAGACATACGGAAGAGATCAATATTTTTTTCTGTACTTTCAACTCTAGATTGATCTGCAGAGAAACTAAAGCAGACATCCTTCCTTTTTAACACTTCCTGAGCTTATAACGGTAAACAATATATAAAAAAGAGAGTATCTTTTCGTATATTACTATAGTTACCAGTATGTATGCTCTCGAACCAAATATCCATTCCAAACAAGTACTTTCCTGTACTAACCAAAAACAACAACAACAACAACAACAACGACAACAGCCTATGGGACACGCCCTTCCTTCCCGCCAGAAAAAACGGGCTACATGACCCCCGCTCCTCCACCCTAATTGAAACCCCACTTGTAATGGTGTAAACAAGCAAGATAAAAATGCGACCGTGTTTATCGTGGTCACCAGCGAAGCAGCTGATAGACAGATGATAGTGATTACGAAACCCAGGTGGCTGTCGACAGAATCAGATGGAACATGAAAAAGGACTAGAAACACACACAAAAACAAACAAGCAAAAACACGCAGAGGCACACGTTCCCATACACAACCGCACACGCCATATGCATGTACATACAAGGTCTATATAAGTATATAAACCTTACACGTACGCGGGCACGCGCACACACACACACACACACACACACACACACACACACACACACACACACACACACACACACACACACACAATCGCACATAAAACACACACACACACAAGCATATATATATATATATATATATATATATATATATATATATATATATATATATATATATATATATATATATATATATAAACACATGTATATAAATATACATATATATATTTTTTATTATTTTTTTTATTTTTTTTGAATTAATTAATTAATCGCTTTTTTCAACAGCCATTCATTCCACTGCAGGAAATCGGCCTCTCTCAATACATTGCTTGAGAGGTTAATCGGCAGTGTCACCCTTGCCTGATTGAATGCCCTTCCTAACTGCACCACGGCAGTGACTTCCCCTAAGACCCTGCATTTGACTTCTCAAGGCGATATGTCGTTTTCTCGCTGTGATATCGGGTTCAACCCAGCAGTCGGAGCGCTAACATTTTTACGA